CCCAGCCTCTGACCTGCTCTTGTAGCCGCTGTGTTTATGTGGTGAGTCCAGTTAAGATTCTGTTTAATGGTAACCCCCAGGATGTTGTTAGCGATGGTAACACCATTGAATGTCAAGGGGGCGGTGGTTAGATTCTCCCTCGTTAGTGATGGGCATAGCCTGGCATTTTGTGTGGCGTGAATGTCACTTGCCACTTGTCAGCCCGAACCTGGATATTGTCCAGATCTTGTGGCATTTGGACACGGATTGCTTCAGTATCTGAGGAGTCCCGAATGGAGCTGAACAATGTGCAAACATCAGCGAACATCCCCCACTCCTGACCTAATGATGGAGGGAAGGTGATTGATGAAGCAGCTGAAGATGGTTGGGCCGAGGACACTACCCTGAGGAACTCCTGCAGAGATGTCCTGGAGCTGAGATGACTGACCTCCCACAACCACCACCATCTTCCTATGTGCCCAGTATGACTCCAACCAGCGGAGAGTTTGCTCCCTGATGCCCACTGAGTCCAGCAATCCAGGAGGATTCCGGTGAAGCTCTGATCTTTATAAAAACTGAAGAATTTCATCAGTTTCTTTTCCGTATGCCAAAGCGTTGCCTGGTGTGGTTTAGCTGAGGGGAGGTGAATGTTGGCTGCAAATTAATTGTTAACCCCAAATTTTTTAAAAAATAATTTATTTTTCGTGCACCTCTCCCGCCCCCTCCTCCCCCCACGACCTTTTTCCGTCAGAGACGCACCCCGGTGGCCGCTCTTCAAGCGTGCACCTAGAGTAGGGGCAATTCAACCGCGGGGAGAATCGCAAAGCAATGGTTGCCAAAAGGGGGACGGTCCCTCATTATGGAGTTGAGGAACTTATCAGCCATGATTGAGTGGCAGAACAGACTCGATGGGCCGAACGGCCTAATTTCTGCCCCTGTGTCTTATGGTTATTATTTTTTTTCCTAATTTTTAACGGGGAGCTCTTTGGAAGAGCCGTCTGTATCTGATTTTTTTTTTCTCCCCCTCTGTTGAAAGCTTTCCTCTCTCTCTCTCTCTCTCTCTCTCTCCCTTGTCCCTCCTGCAGGTTTTCTGATGGCCCTAGACATCCCACAAGAGAGGGGTTTGAGCTCGCTGGATTTCAGGTACTTTGACGAGCTGGTGGTCTGTCGTTTCCCGCTGTTTGACTTCCTGGAGCCTTTCCCTTTGGATTGGATGTATGTCGTCTTTGTCGTTATGTGGCTGGGTGAGTGTCTGATCTCCGGTCTCCCTCCCTAGGCCCTCGTGCGCGCGATGGCAAACGTTTCCACAACTCCCCCTCTCCCAACGGGAGAGACACTGCGGTGGGGAGACTCAAGCGAGGCCCTATAAAGGAGTCCGCACGGTGTACAGAGAGAGAAATGTCCCCGTTATTTGTTGGGGGGGTGGTTGGTGAGGAACGCGAGGCTGGAGGTTTAGGGCAGCCTGGTTCGTTTTGGGAGGTGGGGGGGTGTGTCAAGGGTTTTGGGACCCACTGCCCAGAGAGCAGCTTCCCAAAAGAGGATTGGATGACTGGCTGAAGGGCAAGAGAGATGGGCTGAAGGGCCTCGTTCTGGGCTGTGAGTGTCCATCCTAATGGAGTTCTCTGTCTCTGTCTCTGTCTCTCTCTCTCTGTGTGTGTCTGTCTGTCTCTCTCTCTCTCTCTCTGTGTGTGTGTGTGTGTGTGTCTGTCTCTCTCTCTCTCT